AATAAATCATGGATAAATTTTATCAAATTTATAAAAACAAATTTACTAAATTCAATTAACAATATAGTAGATTCAATTTTATTGTATCACTTTGTAAAAGAAAAAAGACCATTATATAATAGTTTTATTTTGTTAAGGGACACACAAGAAAAATATTTATTTAAAAGAAGAAAACTATAAAGTATCACTAAATTAAAATAAATTTAACTCACCATGGTTCTCTAACTAGCAACCTTTGAATAAAATCCTTGGCATCATTTGATATGTTAGCAAACATTTCTGGGGGAAATTCTAAAGGAGCATGAGTGATATTACAGAATGTTTCCTGCTTTGAATCTCCACCAAATGGAGAATGACCAGATAAGAGAACATATGTTAAAACACCAATACTCCTGAAAGTATCAAATTAAATAAATAAATTTTTAAAAATTAAAATAAACGAATATTAAAAACATAGTTTTAACTCCATAATAAAATTTTAAATTTAAATTTGGCCTATGTTACTGTCTCATGTTAAATTAGAATAAATTTTTAAAAATTAAGTGAAAAATTAACAGAATTTTAGATGGCACTGTTATCGGAACGTTACGTATCACGTGAATTGACAGATAAATAGGTGTTGTGATATTTTTTTGCTTGAAGTAAAGCTAAAACAAGAAAAATGCTCAAACCAAAAGCATTGACTCAAGTTTTGAGTCAGGCTAATACAGGAGGAATCCAATGTACTCTGTAAGTATCACTACAGGAANTAAAAAGCAAAAATACTAAAATAATCATAAGTAAGACTATTTTTATTTTTTTTATTTTAGATTTGTAAAAAGTCCATGTATAGATGTTTGAAGAGTTTTCACTCCACATCTAATTGCCAGATGGACAAGGTCTTTTCTAAGTATAGCAGCTTGACAGAAAGGGTGTTGGACTTTTGCCATTAAATGCTAAGTGAAACAACTCTCTAGTTGTTTGACAGATGTTCAGTCAGCATGATTTTTAAAATACCAAAAGTAGTAAGCTCTTTATTACTTGACAATGAAAGATGCTGAACATTGAATTAGTCAGATGTTTTCGTGTCTTAAAAACTATTAAAAGTCAATCTTAATAATGCTGAACAAAGTCAAAATCATTTTTAAATAGATAATCTTTTTTTAGTCTTACCTACATAATCGGGAGTTCCTACAATTTCTCTTATTTCGATATCTTTAGTAATAAGACGAGAAATACCGAAATCACATAACTTAATATTTCCTTGGGGAAACGCACTTGTTAAAAGTAAGTTTTGAGGCTGAAAATAAATTTTAAAATTTATTTTTAATCTTTAAATGTTTAAAAATATAATTACTTATTTAATATTCTATTTAATAAGAAAGGTGAATGAACAGATTTTTTAAAATTCTTTTTTCCTTAAACTTAAAGAAGGAAATTGTTATAATATAAAGCATACTAAACAGTAAACAGAAAAAATATATATATATGTATATATAAAAAACTTTTTAAATATATTATAATCCAATAAAAATCCTATAAGCGAAAGGAATTTATTTCCTGAAATTGGTATTATCTAACTATTATAACTACTACTACTTATCTAAAATTTACAGGATATAGGGGGGGTATATCAAGGACATAAAGTAACGTTTTGTAATACAACCTACAATCTATATTTACAACTATTGTAAATCCAAAAGAAAAACTAAGCTCATATTTTTACAACTGAATCATTTGTTATTTTTATTAACATATTATCAAAAATGGACACGAAATATCTATTGATAACAATTATTAAAATAACTGTAAACATATTCTGACAATTGTTTAATGTTATCATCATTAGTACATTTATTTCATAATAAAAGTAAATTATATTATAGATTCTGAAAAGAATTAACTTTCAAAATAATTTTATTTAAATAATGAACACCAAAAAAGTAATATAAAAAAAAAGTTAAGGCATTCTGTTTCCGAGCCGTAAATTATAAAAGAAAATTTCACGTCTAGCGGTTTAGTGTAAACTAATAAATAATCATCAGTAATGTGTTTAAAATTCTACGATGAGTTTAGCTTCTTTTTTTTCCTTTTTAAGTTTCGGTTTTCCTGATTAAGGCGTAAATAAACCAGGATGGTGACGATAAGTCTGGAGTACTGGTTAACAGCTGAATAGATACTAAAATCTAGCATGGGAAAAAAAAGGGTCGAACGACTGAATGGCACCAAAACGACGTCAATCCGGATTCCCCATGGAGCCGTCAAGACAGTAGCTTATTTTCAATGAATACGTGACGTAAGCGGATGAACTTTTTTCTGGTATCAAATACAGAAGGTCACTAACAACCAGTTATCAGTCCTAGCACGAAAACCATTCCCCGTCTGTCATAAACTGGAAAATCATTACTTGGGAATTTTTCGTTCTTTTTTCAAAAAACAACGTTTAAAAAATTCGATGGAATTTTTAGGCGTGGTTAAAACAACAAACGTCCTTGCGACAAGCCAGAAAAATGGTTCTACGGGTCATTCCAGTACGGCATCAGCATTTGCTCAATTTAATTTCGCTGAATCGCTAAAGAAGTTTGCAGAGTCAGCAAATTAATTGTTTTCGGTCAATCGGTTTTTACCCCTGACCTCATTGCTGGAGCTAGTTTATGACAATGTTAAGTCCTTGGGGGTTTTACTTCTATACAAGACGCATAGGAATCTTAATACCGGACATTTTGGTTCTACACGTTATTATTACCAGCATCTATCCATCTCGTATCGAAGTTTTTGGAGAATCGAGGGCAGATATATTAAAATCGGCCACTGGATATGGGACAGCCGGGAAAACTGCGGGGAAAAAAACCGGTTTGGTATCATAATATCCTTTTTTTTTTAAACAGAAGGCTCGAAAAACATTCGATATTAACCCCGGAGCGGAACTAGTCTAGAATGATAATAAATTATACAACATATTTTTATACCTTAAGATCTAAATGTGCTACATTGAGATCGTGAAGAAAGATCAGTCCTTCCAATATCTGGCGCATCAGACGCGATGCATCTCTTTCACAAATTACCTCTTCGTCTTCTAAAACACGCTGCACTTCACCACCCGTTGCCCTGTTCAGATTTATAATAAAAAAAACCATTGTTAAAAATAAATTAGTAAATAAAACATTTGTTCATTTTGTTTGTTTATTCACTTACATTTCTAGAACTAGGATGATTTCTGATGACGTTTCATATATTTCATGCAAGCGCACAATTCTAGGACAGACTGCACTCAATTTCAAAACATATATCTCATGCATAATTTCGTGTCTAACATCAGACGCTCTTCGTCTTTTGCGTATGTATTTGGCTGCATATTTAATGCCTGTTTCCTTATGGCAACATCGTCGGACTGTAGCGAATTTACCCCTATAATTAATTAGAAAAATCATCATTAATTGTGTTATTAAAACTTGGAATAAGGACAAAATAGTAAATATTCACCGATTGAAGTTAATAGGTTATATTTTTGGCAGAATTTCATTAGATTTCATAAGAATATTTATTTACTTTCAGAAAAGTCCTTGTACTCGGCTCAAAAATTAGGCTAATAAGAGTTCAAAGCTTTTTTTTTTCTTTTGCACAGATTTCCTCCGATTAACGGATTATATTTCATAATTTTATTATTACTAAGAAAATTTTAATATTGGAATTATTAGAGTTCATTAACACCGAATACGAATCGAATATTAAGATGCTGCGAGCCGTAAGCTTGTTAATGGGTGTCTTTAATTTAACAAGACAGCGTCCGAAGAATGATTTTGGCTCGGCGCTCACTTAAGATAGTTTTCTCCTGCCAAATATTCCTAGCGACACTGCGAGAAATACCGACGAAAATTTATTGAAAAGGATAAACAACCCGCGACTTTTGATACATCAAAACAATCACCCGGACGCCAGTTAACGAAACATAAATTTTCATTATGCGATATGCGCGGTTGGAAGGCATTAAAAATATGACGTCAGCCGTTCAAACACGTTAGATTGAATTGGAATCTCTAACAAATCTGACAACGCCCGTTCGTCCACATTCCTCCAACGGAAAGTGCATCCGTTTCCGGCGGACGTCACATGACCGGACATCCCGGACAATGTCGCATAGATACCAGACAATATTACGAGATGGATCGTAACCGGATAGATTACATTTTGCATAATCCAGTTCTTCAAAATTATGCATTTATTATGTACACACGGCAAAACATGCCATCCGTTTAGTTTTTATGTACCGAACTCGCATCGTATTGCGGAAATCTGTAGCGAGGAACTTAAATCTAAAAAAGATATTTAAACTTTTGAGAAACGATCCCGTTTGGTCTTAAGCCAGACATAGTTGGCATAGCGTTTCGGTAGACGGGGAAAGTCTGTCGGCCGGAAAGACAGTAGGAAATGTTTCTTTTGGAAAGGACTTAAAATAATGTGTTCGTTGACCCAGACATCGCGGGAGGCCCCACTTTTTTTAAACGAAAACAAATCTCTAATTTCTAGGTTCGTCACTGTTTACACTTAATTCGGATCCCCCGCTTTATAAAAAAAATGCAAGGTACACAACAAACATATCCAGGGCTTCCGTGTCCTATTTCTCGTAAACAAAATATTAATTCGTGTTTGTCTATTCGAGACAATCGACCTCAATCTAATTCATGCGACATTAAAACGTTTTGTAGAAAAGAAAAAATGTTTCCGATTAGCCTAAAGGTGAATGAAATAGAAAAAAAATTGACCTTGATTCGCCCTATTGACCCGAAGTCGTCTTTCACCTTTTTTTTTTCTTCTTATNTCAAATAGAAACTTTTATATTTAAAATTTTTATTAATATAGACTAGTTCTAAAATAGTTTACTCATCTCACATTACTTCATGCACTTTTAACATTCACATTTGCTAGTAGTGTATAAAATTATTATTAGTTGTATTTTTAAAATAAAAAAAACTTCTATATATATATATAATTTTTTTTATTTAAAATTGATGCTTAAACTAAATAAGCACATAAATATTTACAAATAACCTCAATGGGTGATTAAAAATAAAATAAATAAGCAAGCAAAACAAATATTTCAGATAAAAAAAAAAGCCCCTTAAAGTAGGAAAAACATTCCCATTATAAACATTTAAAAAATACCAAAATCTCTTAACTCTCTTCTGTTTTCTAACTTTATCTATCGTACAAAACTCCTTTTCGTCGGAAACAGCAACGTATGCTATACATATATAATATACAGTATATATGAACTTGGTATGACTGTGATTGTCCACAAACTGTCTTGCACACAATGTTTATACAATATAGAAAGGCACGTGATATAACATTATTTGTATATTAATATTGTTAAACTTGTTACATTTAAATTATTGCCACAAAATGGATTAGTTAATTGGCAGATATGATACAAAATATTCCATCTTTATGAAAAAGGTAAACATTATTTGAAGGGAAGACTTCACAATTATGATATTTAAAAATCAACAACTTGTAGGCAGTGTCCATATTGTACTTTACAGGTAGAAATTTCTTAATTCGGATTTTAGATAAGGACTGGAAGAACAAGTGGGAAGATCATTTCATACTATGAAACTATTTTGTTGCATACAGACGAAATTTCTAAATTTCCTATTATTACGAACATTTGTAAATAGAAGTTCAAATACTAGATGTATATGGCCTGAGGTACTATTCTAATATTTTAGTCGAAAAAAATTTTTTTTAGTACACTATGCCAACTCTTTCATCAATTATAATTTCTTCTGAAAACATTAATCTATTTGTAACTATTCCTTTAAATTCTACAACCATAGTTTTTATTTCAGAAATATTTCTATTATTCTGTTGATGTTCTTCTGTACATCCTCGTTCTTTAATATACTGCGATCGTTTTTCTTCCATTAATTCATTTTGTTGCTGAGATAATGGCATTAATGGATTAGTTGAATTTTCATCCAAAATGTTTTCTGCATTTGCAGAAACTTGACGAGGAACTTCTATTACACCATTCTTAATGTCCGTATTTGTTGCCGACGAGGCTGAAGGAATAGGCTTATTTAACACAGTTTTCTCACAAATCCAAGAATGCTGTAGGCATTCTTTGGCAGTCATGCGTTCACTGAAAGAAGAGAAAACAAATAAAGAAAGTTGCTTATAAAAAAAACTTACATAACTAAAACTAAACTAACAATGTATGAGTATTTTCCTGTGGACATAAAAATAGCTATTGACTTTTTAAATTAAATTAAACTAATGAAAAAAGCTTGTTTTTCATTAGTTTAAACATATTCTTAGATGTAATATAGAATATATATTAATAAAATTATATCATCATAAGAGTATACATTATAAAAATTATTTAAAATTAGAATGAAATTAAATCAAAATTAGATTTTATTAAGATTTCTTATTGTTCTAAAGTTTTAGCTGTATATCCTTATAAAATAAATATTTATATAGTATAAAACATAATATTATAAAATTATTTATACTGTAAAAACAGAGATTTCAGTTGACTGATATACATATTTAGAATAAATATTTTGTCATTATTTGATAAGTTTCAACTTTATTTCAATCTTATAAATATAGTACCAATATGAATCATTTCAGTAAATATTTAGAAGTTTAAATCAAATCATGCAATTAAAGTTTTTATTATAAATCACAGATAATGAACCTCTTTATTTATACAGCATCAATAATCAAGTTTAGTTATTTAATTATTTTAAAAGTTAAGTCATATATAAATTACCTTTCCTTAAAAATATATATACACACACACACACACTTTGAAAATGGAATGGCTATTTGCTATAATATTTAATGCTTCACCCATTGACACTTTAGAGAGATCACAATTTCAGTTTTTTAGATAATGATATGCTACTTAAATCTACTGTTCAGTTTTTATAATTTGACTTACAATGATATGACACAGTCTTGACCCAATAATTTGCTATCAATAACTGTTCATTTAATGTGCCAAAACAAGAAAAAACAAACAATTAGCTAAAATCTGTGACAGTACAATTTGAGGACAATATTGATGATTAATTATAATAAAAATCTTCAATGTTTGTATTTTTAATAGTTCTAATGACATGTTCATTACATACCACATTCAGCATTGTTCTAAGTTTTATAAGATTGAAATAAAACAATAAACAATATATTACATAGCTTGTTCTATGCAATACTGTTCATTGTCAAAATGGTAAACTATGAAAGGAAAACTGTGCATTACATATTTCCATTGTTATTTCATTCATGCAACCTTCATTGCTGACTCCAATATCTGATAAAAGTCAAAGGATTATAACATGCTTTATCATTGATATGACCTTCACGTACAGTTACATTACATAAAAATGTATTCATCTAGCAATTATTGTAAGGTATGTGAAAAATGAATACAATCTTCAGTAAAAACACTAAATTATAATCATTGAGTAATGAATTACAAGTAATGTTTTATATACTAATGCTTGAGAATGAAATATCATCATTATTATTATTAACAATTTTAAATCAAATATTGCTCAAAATTGAACATTTACTAAAATTTTAAAAGTTTTAACATTTCTTTTCATTAAATGTTATCAATTTCAATAAATCATGGATAAATTTTATCAAATTTATAAAAACAAATTTACTAAATTCAATTAACAATATAGTAGATTCAATTTTATTGTATCACTTTGTAAAAGAAAAAAGACCATTATATAATAGTTTTATTTTGTTAAGGGACACACAAGAAAAATATTTATTTAAAAGAAGAAAACTATAAAGTATCACTAAATTAAAATAAATTTAACTCACCATGGTTCTCTAACTAGCAACCTTTGAATAAAATCCTTGGCATCATTTGATATGTTAGCAAACATTTCTGGGGGAAATTCTAAAGGAGCATGAGTGATATTACAGAATGTTTCCTGCTTTGAATCTCCACCAAATGGAGAATGACCAGATAAGAGAACATATGTTAAAACACCAATACTCCTGAAAGTATCAAATTAAATAAATAAATTTTTAAAAATTAAAATAATCGAATGACATTTAATTGTTATAGCAAATTAAAACATACCACATATCCGTAGCTAAGGTAATTGGTTCATATTGAAGAATTTCTGGTGCTAGAATAATAAAATTTTAAATTAAAAATAAAATCATTTTATTACTATTTTTTAAAAGATTTTTATATAATTGAAAAATTTGTTTTAAATTTCTTTTCAGTATTAAAAATAGCATTAATAAAAAGCAAAAATACTAAAATAATCATAAGTAAGACTATTTTTATTTTTTTTATTTTAGATTTGTAAAAAGTCCATGTATAGATGTTTGAAGAGTTTTCACTCCACATCTAATTGCCAGATGGACAAGGTCTTTTCTAAGTATAGCAGCTTGACAGAAAGGGTGTTGGACTTTTGCCATTAAATGCTAAGTGAAACAACTCTCTAGTTGTTTGACAGATGTTCAGTCAGCATGATTTTTAAAATACCAAAAGTAGTAAGCTCTTTATTACTTGACAATGAAAGATGCTGAACATTGAATTAGTCAGATGTTTTCGTGTCTTAAAAACTATTAAAAGTCAATCTTAATAATGCTGAACAAAGTCAAAATCATTTTTAAATAGATAATCTTTTTTTAGTCTTACCTACATAATCGGGAGTTCCTACAATTTCTCTTATTTCGATATCTTTAGTAATAAGACGAGAAATACCGAAATCACATAACTTAATATTTCCTTGGGGAAACGCACTTGTTAAAAGTAAGTTTTGAGGCTGAAAATAAATTTTAAAATTTATTTTTAATCTTTAAATGTTTAAAAATATAATTACTTATTTAATATTCTATTTAATAAGAAAGGTGAATGAACAGATTTTTTAAAATTCTTTTTTCCTTAAACTTAAAGAAGGAAATTGTTATAATATAAAGCATACTAAACAGTAAACAGAAAAAATATATATATATGTATATATAAAAAACTTTTTAAATATATTATAATCCAATAAAAATCCTATAAGCGAAAGGAATTTATTTCCTGAAATTGGTATTATCTAACTATTATAACTACTACTACTTATCTAAAATTTACAGGATATAGGGGGGGTATATCAAGGACATAAAGTAACGTTTTGTAATACAACCTACAATCTATATTTACAACTATTGTAAATCCAAAAGAAAAACTAAGCTCATATTTTTACAACTGAATCATTTGTTATTTTTATTAACATATTATCAAAAATGGACACGAAATATCTATTGATAACAATTATTAAAATAACTGTAAACATATTCTGACAGTTGTTTAATGATATCATCATTAGTACATTTATTTCATAATAAAAGTAAATTATATTATAGATTCTGAAAAGAATTAACTTTCAAAATAATTTTATTTAAATAATGAACACCAAAAAAGTAATATAAAAAAAAAGTTAAGGCATTCTGTTTCCGAGCCGTAAATTATAAAAGAAAATTTCACGTCTAGCGGTTTAGTGTAAACTAATAAATAATCATCAGTAATGTGTTTAAAATTCTACGATGAGTTTAGCTTCTTTTTTTTCCTTTTTAAGTTTCGGTTTTCCTGATTAAGGCGTAAATAAACCAGGATGGTGACGATAAGTCTGGAGTACTGGTTAACAGCTGAATAGATACTAAAATCTAGCATGGGAAAAAAAAGGGTCGAACGACTGAATGGCACCAAAACGACGTCAATCCGGATTCCCCATGGAGCCGTCAAGACAGTAGCTTATTTTCAATGAATACGTGACGTAAGCGGATGAACTTTTTTCTGGTATCAAATACAGAAGGTCACTAACAACCAGTTATCAGTCCTAGCACGAAAACCATTCCCCGTCTGTCATAAACTGGAAAATCATTACTTGGGAATTTTTCGTTCTTTTTTCAAAAAACAACGTTTAAAAAATTCGATGGAATTTTTAGGCGTGGTTAAAACAACAAACGTCCTTGCGACAAGCCAGAAAAATGGTTCTACGGGTCATTCCAGTACGGCATCAGCATTTGCTCAATTTAATTTCGCTGAATCGCTAAAGAAGTTTGCAGAGTCAGCAAATTAATTGTTTTCGGTCAATCGGTTTTTACCCCTGACCTCATTGCTGGAGCTAGTTTATGACAATGTTAAGTCCTTGGGGGTTTTACTTCTATACAAGACGCATAGGAATCTTAATACCGGACATTTTGGTTCTACACGTTATTATTACCAGCATCTATCCATCTCGTATCGAAGTTTTTGGAGAATCGAGGGCAGATATATTAAAATCGGCCACTGGATATGGGACAGCCGGGAAAACTGCGGGGAAAAAAACCGGTTTGGTATCATAATATCCTTTTTTTTTTAAACAGAAGGCTCGAAAAACATTCGATATTAACCCCGGAGCGGAACTAGTCTAGAATGATAATAAATTATACAACATATTTTTATACCTTAAGATCTAAATGTGCTACATTGAGATCGTGAAGAAAGATCAGTCCTTCCAATATCTGGCGCATCAGACGCGATGCATCTCTTTCACAAATTACCTCTTCGTCTTCTAAAACACGCTGCACTTCACCACCCGTTGCCCTGTTCAGATTTATAATAAAAAAAACCATTGTTAAAAATAAATTAGTAAATAAAACATTTGTTCATTTTGTTTGTTTATTCACTTACATTTCTAGAACTAGGATGATTTCTGATGACGTTTCATATATTTCATGCAAGCGCACAATTCTAGGACAGACTGCACTCAATTTCAAAACATATATCTCATGCATAATTTCGTGTCTAACATCAGACGCTCTTCGTCTTTTGCGTATGTATTTGGCTGCATATTTAATGCCTGTTTCCTTATGGCAACATCGTCGGACTGTAGCGAATTTACCCCTATAATTAATTAGAAAAATCATCATTAATTGTGTTATTAAAACTTGGAATAAGGACAAAATAGTAAATATTCACCGATTGAAGTTAATAGGTTATATTTTTGGCAGAATTTCATTAGATTTCATAAGAATATTTATTTACTTTCAGAAAAGTCCTTGTACTCGGCTCAAAAATTAGGCTAATAAGAGTTCAAAGCTTTTTTTTTTCTTTTGCACAGATTTCCTCCGATTAACGGATTATATTTCATAATTTTATTATTACTAAGAAAATTTTAATATTGGAATTATTAGAGTTCATTAACACCGAATACGAATCGAATATTAAGATGCTGCGAGCCGTAAGCTTGTTAATGGGTGTCTTTAATTTAACAAGACAGCGTCCGAAGAATGATTTTGGCTCGGCGCTCACTTAAGATAGTTTTCTCCTGCCAAATATTCCTAGCGACACTGCGAGAAATACCGACGAAAATTTATTGAAAAGGATAAACAACCCGCGACTTTTGATACATCAAAACAATCACCCGGACGCCAGTTAACGAAACATAAATTTTCATTATGCGATATGCGCGGTTGGAAGGCATTAAAAATATGACGTCAGCCGTTCAAACACGTTAGATTGAATTGGAATCTCTAACAAATCTGACAACGCCCGTTCGTCCACATTCCTCCAACGGAAAGTGCATCCGTTTCCGGCGGACGTCACATGACCGGACATCCCGGACAATGTCGCATAGATACCAGACAATATTACGAGATGGATCGTAACCGGATAGATTACATTTTGCATAATCCAGTTCTTCAAAATTATGCATTTATTATGTACACACGGCAAAACATGCCATCCGTTTAGTTTTTATGTACCGAACTCGCATCGTATTGCGGAAATCTGTAGCGAGGAACTTAAATCTAAAAAAGATATTTAAACTTTTGAGAAACGATCCCGTTTGGTCTTAAGCCAGACATAGTTGGCATAGCGTTTCGGTAGACGGGGAAAGTCTGTCGGCCGGAAAGACAGTAGGAAATGTTTCTTTTGGAAAGGACTTAAAATAATGTGTTCGTTGACCCAGACATCGCGGGAGGCCCCACTTTTTTTAAACGAAAACAAATCTCTAATTTCTAGGTTCGTCACTGTTTACACTTAATTCGGATCCCCCGCTTTATAAAAAAAATGCAAGGTACACAACAAACATATCCAGGGCTTCCGTGTCCTATTTCTCGTAAACAAAATATTAATTCGTGTTTGTCTATTCGAGACAATCGACCTCAATCTAATTCATGCGACATTAAAACGTTTTGTAGAAAATAAAAAATGTTTCCGATTAGCCTAAAGGTGAAAGAAATAGAAAAAAAAATTGACCTTGATTCGCCCTATTGACCCGAAGTCGTCTTTCACCTTTTTTTTTTCTTCTTATAATTTATCAATAGCGGGAAGCCAAAATACTTAAACGAATTAGGACATATGTAGTGTTTCGATTAGAAAGTTTACCATATTCGATGATATCATAAGCCGCGGGAGACTTTGTTCCCCCTTCACATAATCAGATAATGAGCAAGGTCGTTAGAGGTGAGTCATCCAGGGAGCACGGTCTTGGTTCGAGTTCAACGGGCTTTCGTTCCTCTCTAACATCATTCTAGCATCGATTGAAGTAAGACGGTAGCTAAAGACTATATTAGGCAGGAAACAATTCTAAAGCCACCCACGCCTGAACGGGTCATTGTTCTACAGTTTGTATTTATAAAGTGAAAGGGATGACCCATCTCTGTTTAGCGTTATTTATGGAGCGTATGTTAAACCTCCATGACCATAAATGGTGGCGGCAGTTTTGCAGCTGACTCAACGTCTAGCTACGGATTTCAAGGTTCTCCCCATGCACACAGATCGGGGGAATCGTTCATGATTCATGACCTGTTCGGCGACAGGTATGTGGGACAAACAGGCTACAACGTTACTAGCCTACAGGCTTCATTTTTTATTATTATTATTTTTTTCTCGAATGGCAGGGGAAAGGTTGAATCCGGTAATTACCATACCAGGAAGCCAGTTACTACCACTGTATAAACAGAGACAATAGAAGTTTTACCTATACCGACACCGAAGAGCGCATAATCTAAAGAATTAATATGCATTTAGATCAGCAAACAAGCTCTTAACTTACCTGGCAAAAGGTCTCGATTCGACCGTGTACACATCAGTGATTGGTTGTGTATTAATATAAAGTGGTTGAGGACAATGTGTTTCGTTAAGAAGGCCTTGCACGCCGCCGGGATTATTATTCAAATTGTCGTCCAGGTTAAGGGCCATTTTGTGACCTCGAACCCTCTTCGACGTTTGCTAATGGCTACCTAAATAAGGAAACGAAAAACATTTGTGGTCAACCATACTTTAAAAGGAAAAAAAAAAAAAAAAGATTTTAAAACCGTTTAAAACTAACAAATGCCGAAATATTTCTATTTCCAGTTCACGTTGTCTATTCTACGGAGAAAACATAACACTAACAGTTCTATTACTAGTACTTTCTATTGTTGGATACGCTTATTATGTGTACGTTAACTTCTATTGTAATCGATTAATATAAGAAATAAACTAAAAAGAAAACATTTATACTTACTTTCTAATTCTATTAGTGTTCACTTATAAAGTACGACTGTTCTGTTTTTCCAGCTACCTGTACATTAATTATTATAATTAAACTAAATGAACGTGGACGGAATTAATCGTAACGTCCACGTTCGTCTTCTCATCTACAATGAACGTCTCCCAACCGATTCCAATTGGGAATGAAGTCGGAGTGGCAGCTGATTGGCTGCAGCTCGTGTCATAGACATCGTAACTAATACGTAGAGTTTTTTTTTTTTTGTTTGCTTTTTTAATTTCGTGCAGTTTCCTGGTTACGTTAATATTTTCCATTTGATTTATTTAAATTTTTAATTAAATACGTTTTTAAACAATTTTATTATTATTTTTTTATTCCGTTAAATTTAATTGAAATTTTGAATTTATTTGAACTTTTGAGAAAACGCATTTTAAAAATGGCGTATCTCCGAACGGTCAACCTCACTTATTAGTTACATCATTGTTGAGAAACGGAGAAAAAAACCTATTATTCATTAATAAATTTCGAAAGAAAATGACAAAAGAAGAAGAAACGCAAGCCACGATGAACCATTTGTTTTATTACAATTAGAAATTAGTCATAACAAATTTCTACAAAATTATTCTGCTCATTTCGTAAGTATTAAGAATGGCATCTAAAATATTTTTTATAATGCATTATTTTGCAATATATTATTAAGAATTATATGATAGGCTTTATTAGCTTATTCTGTAAATGAGCTCTATGTTGAGTAAAATATTCTATTTAAGATCTGCCATACTAAATATTTGTGTTGTATGCCATGGAAAACAAGTTAATATATTCGTAGTGCGTAAAATTATAACTACGTGGTGGAATGATATTCTAATATGCCGATATCATAAAATACGATCGTACGTATCAATGAAAATTAGTTTACAGCTTCTCCAATTACACAACATTGAAATACTCAAATTTCATATTTTAATAAAGTTTATTCGATAAAACCTATTTTTTATAACGTTATGTATTTTGTTTGTATTTTTTTTTCTTTTTACTCTTTCCGTCTTGTAAGCACTAAGAGGGCTTTCTTCCAGACCTATTGTGGGTTCGGCCGAGTTCGTAATGGGAACGATTTGTGGTGAGGGGTGGGGCCTGAAATATCCGGAATAGAACATCCATGAAAAATTCCTGGGGTTCTTCATACACCCACATTTTATCCTTCGCTCCGGAGAGGTATACCGCTTTTCCGCCATTTTGTCGGCCGGCTTCATAATTTTTATTACTTGCGGTTTTCAATTTATGCATTATTTTTATACCTTTTTTGTTATAGAAAAGCATTTATATATTGGCTTTATATTAAACGATGCCTTTTAATCAAACTACACCTCCGAGAAATCTTCGTTTTAATAATCTGAAGTTTCGTCTTACGTATTTTACGAAAAATTACTTGTCTACACGAAAATTCTTTTTTGAGATAAGAATGAAGGAGAAAAACGTGTAATAATTTCAGAATATAAAGAAAAATTACTTTTTTCTTTTATTTTCTTGAAATTATAGCATTTCATCCTAGATTAAATTACTTTTTTACGGATATCGGATACACAAACGTCTGGCTATTCGATTGTTTTCAATTTTGTCCATTTTGACTGGACAAACTTGCAGTCTAGGCTTATATTTGTAATGGAATTAAAAGAATGCGCTTACTAAAAAATGCTCTTGGAAAATTAAGAGTCCAAATCAGATTCAAACCCCGAAAACAAATGATTTTTTTATTCATATGTTTATAATACAGAAACGATTCCAGCAAACACGATAGTGTTTGGAACATTTCAAATACTCCAGCATATTTATTCTCGTGATATGTTCTAAAAATATATTGAATTGATCATTTTAAATTTGTATACTACAGCAAACTGTTTAAATCTTATATTGTATCACATTATAGGCCTACAAGTGGAGTTATGAAGTTAAACCTACACAAATCTCATAATATGCAAAAATATATAAATAAATAGGATTATACTTCATTCAATGTCGAGTTTTGTTTGCAGATAGTAAAATTTAATTTACTTTAAAGTAAATTGGTGATAGCGAAATTCTTTAAAGACCTATATATAAAGAAAACAATGCAAATACTTCTTTTTATTAAGGACTACTTTAATAAATAGAATCCTTTGTTCGATAATTTCGCACTTCTAAAGGCCTATAATTATTATTCATAAGAGTCTAAATTCCGATTTCACAACAAATGAAGTCTGAGGAAAGCAAATACTCATACAATTAGATATGAAACTACTTATATTCTATAGAATGTCGCTTTAGTTATTATTTCCAATTGACCTATTTCTTTGCACATAAAATATATCATAAATATATAGAGTATATAGCTTATATATTATCTCGGAAAATTATAAATATAATAAATAATCATTCTTCATATATATAGATAGAAAATATAGATTATTGTACTTAGTATAGAACATTTAATAATTTATCTCGAGTAAAGTATACATTTACTATATTGTTAAAAGCAATCGTCTAAAGGGCATTGTCTATCTTTAATTAGATATCATTCAATTATTTAAATTCATTACGAATTTGCGCTTTATTGTTGTAAAACGTTTATTAATTATCATATTTCATTTTCATTCAATGAACGATTTATACTTACAGTTAAACTATCATAGGGTGGTCTATCCCCTTGAAAAATTCTTAAGGTTCCCCATCCTCCCCATTGTAAACCTGGGCGAATGTGTTAAAACATCCTTCCTACTTCATTAAATAATTCATATAGAAGTTATAAAAAGATAATTTCCATATCTAATATATGACAGTTAATGTTTAAAAGATAATAAACAAACCATCAATTTATACTGATTAAGAATTTATTTTGAAAATGATTATTTCATTTTATCTTGAATACTAACACATTAATATTTTAACTAAAAATAAATATAGTCTATAAATTGAATAGCATTTTAAATTTTTCGTTGAGAAAATATTTAAAGTGTAAATTTACAGATCGAATAGATTACGATTCAATAATTCGTTATGAAATAGAATAATCAATTCTTTATCTTAAATTTTTATAATTTCAACATTTATCCACTCGAAAAGCAAGCTTTTAGATAGGAAATAATAATAAAAATCAATTTATAAATATTATAAATATTTACTTTTCACTCGACAAACTATTAATGTTAAGTATTCGTGGATTTTAAACAAGTGGTAATATTTTAATCATAAGTAATGAATTTCTATTTTTATCCATTCTTACTAGGAAAAAAAAAAGAAAATTATAAATAAAAATAGAATTATTTAATATTAAACAGTAAACATTAAAAATATTTAATTATATTTTAATATTATTAAAATACAAATAATTAAAGTATAAAATATAAATCATTTCTACATTTGTTTTCTCTAACAAATAAGTGTAAATTAGCATTAAATGTCAAATATTTTATTGATTTATTATATTAAATGAATTAATAATCATCCAATTTATAAAATAATTAAATTATAAGAAAAATATTTTTTAAAAGTTTTTAAAAAAAATAGTAATATTAATATAAACTTTTAGTGAAAGTAAATGATCATTTATTTCATTAATTTATGGTTTTATTGATATTGCAATCATCATTTTGCAACTTCTGCCTTAAAAAGTAACCTTATAGATGCCGATAATAAGGATATCTCTGTCACTGTTAAAATTTTCTAAAATAGAAAATTATATAGGTTACAAATCTGCAGGAAAAAATAACCTATTTTTTCCTGCAGATTCATCATTTAATCTAATACAATAAAAGTTAAAGAAGAATTAAAGAACGATAAGAACAAAAAGAGAATTAGAAAAACAGTCGTGACAATTGTTATCTTTCTAAAAATATATAAAAATATTTTTTAAAATTACTTTTAAAAATATATTAAATTTTTAACACAATCTTTTGTTTCAAAATCCTCTACGTTAACGTCACGTTTATAATCTTATTTTTATAAGTTTATTCAAAGCACATATTGCAGCCTCACTTCACGTCATCTCCTTCATCCTTTGGAACAGATTATTGTTCACTGGTTTAGTTAAAAATTACTTAAATTAANTTTATGATTATATTAAAATAATTAAATAAAATATTCATCTAAATAACTATTTTAAAATTTATTAATTTAATAATTTTAAAATAGCCAATAAACTGTAACTTAAAATAATCAGGTGTTATATAGATAAATTGGTTACAAAAGAATGAATAATATCCATGTTATGTACGGCTATTTCATAATTATTTTATTTAAAAATAAAATTGTATAAATGGAGTTTATTATTTAATTAATAATAAAATAACAAAGAAAAAGTCATATAGAAATTCGTAATATTCATTGTTGTTAAATCTACTTTTTACTCTGATCGCTTTGCTCAAAAGAAAGCTTTTTTTTTAAAATCTTATTTTAGATTTTTAAATGATTACTCGACGTTAACAATAGAATATTTTATTCTACATAATAGGTTTATATTTTTAGATAAAGTTTATAAATTGAACTAATTTAAATGCCAACATGTAAGTTGTTTATTTATAAATTTATAATTAACTTAAACAATATTTAAACGTTCTTTCGAATTTAGCAAAAACTCTCAATTATGCACTATATAAGTTAATAATATCATGCAATAATTTTTTTTCTACCATAAATTTTTCCAACAATATTTTATTAAAAAATTTAATTTGTCAAATAAAGTATTGTTTAATTATTAAACAGGAAATATAAACATTTCTCTTTAAGCTTACAATTTATATTTATATGACTAGGTTTATGTATTAATTCATTATATGTTATGAAAATATTTAATTATCCTTTAATTATGCTTGTCATTCTTAAAATACTAGAATACTCTAATTTTCTTTTAATTTTTTTTTTATTTTCTAGCATTTATATTTATTTTTTTATAAATTTCTACACATTAAATATTATAACTCTTCATACATATTTTAATATCATCCAGTTATCATGTTAACACTTAGGCTACTTGTGTTAGTTCAAAGTTACCTAACATAACAATAATAAAGGTCAAATTAGAATAGGCTATGAGTCGAGCATTCAATTACATACATAAATAATAGGTCTTTAATTATTAGTGTATACTTCAATATTAGGAACTGGAAAAAAACAAAACAATACTATTAAATAACTGGTAGTGTCCTCTCTAGGCAGTAATTATAATTATTTCAAGTTTAACAGAATAGAAATTGTTTATTTATTTATTTATTTATGAATATTTCAAATTAGTTTTTGAATTATTTACCAGTAGTATAATTAGAGCATAAGTATACTCTAATTATAGTAATTATAAGTAGTATAATTAGAAACGATATTGTGGGACCGAATTAGAACATACACACCTAAATTCAACCCTATACCATCGTGGATGTAGTCACTAACGCTGTGGATGAAGAATAAACTCTTAAATACTGTATATACGTGTGTATAAGTGTCATATTTAATTTGATTTTTTCTTCATTTATTTACAAAATACAATAGAAAAAGAATTTTTAAAGTTTTTAATTATACAAATACTTGATCTAATTTTAGAAGAAAGATTAAATTACATATGAAAAAAAATTATGAAAGTAAATATAAATATAACTCTGGTGATAAGTTATTAGATGAGGGATTAATCCAGGATAAATTATATACATTAATATTTTTAAGCATCCTGTTTTGACTGATCTAGGACACTTTATTGGCATTGATATATTCGAAAAAAATCAAACCAACTAATTATAGGTCCTAATAGAATAACAGGAGAGAAAAATCAGTTGTCATTTGAACTAAAACCAACAGAGTTTTAACACATGTCATTAATCGTCTTTACGGAAATGTCACGATAACAAACGTGTCTTAACTTTATACTGATCATACTTTAAGCAGAACACGAAGATAAATATTTATGAAATAGTATATTATTCATAAATAATATAGCGGAAACATAACGTATTTAGAACTAGTACTCAAATGCGGAAATACAAGACTTAACGGATAAATAGAAATATCATTTCTTTATCTTTCTATTTCCGTTTTTGATGTTATACTCACATGTTACATAGTTGGTTAAGCTAAGTGTTATTTGTTGACCTATAAAAAATAGATTTATAATGAAAGAAAATGTGATAAACAAGATAATTCAATTTTATTAACTTCTTTCTAGTCTGTCCGTAAATTATAAGTGTGTGACTAACGAATAAGATGATGACAGAATGAGCGATGTTACAATAGAAGATTCTACGTATGATAAGATTTTGGCTTTTAAAAATGTTTTCTTAAATGTCTTCTTGGTGTTTACACGGAAAAAAAGTTAATATTAATAGAACAAAACATAAATTTGATACTGATAAACGAAAAATACAGTAAACCATAATTTTATAGGCCTTCGTGATATTGAACCACTACGAGAACACTTTTCACATTTGGATGATTATAAATATTCATCTATCTTCAGTTGCAAATACCAGGTAGATTTTCCGAATGATTGATTGATCTCATACATTATCAACGATCATTACATTTAGCCTACACTCAGGCTTTAGAGGGTGTGCCAGGGAATTTTCCCCGAACCTAGAGAAAACTTAGTTTCCAAAGCGGTTTCTACCTTATAAAATTTATGTTGTTTTTACTAATAGAAAATAAAAAATCTTAAAGACTATCTTTTATTAATAAAGAAACATTTTATATACACTATTTCATAACTATTGAACACTGATAGTTGGTCGTGTGTTCGTGCCTCGCCAACGGGTTGGCCACGTAAAGTTTTCCTGGTTTTCTTCACATTTAAAACGCCTGAATATGGCCAGTTTTCCTTAGAAAGTCCTTCCGGGAGGCATCCCCTCGGAGGTGAGTTTCGGTATACAAACAAAGAATCTAGGAACCTATTTCATTTGTATATTATAATTTTATGATAAGAATATTTAATAATTCTTTTATTAAAATAAATCACTTTATTATATACAGTAAAATCTTTAATACGTTTTTAAAAAAATTTATGCTAGTAATAATAATAACATTTATATTAATATTTGGCCTTTTAAATTAATAAAAATATTTTTATCGTAAGTAACCTAAAGATGGCGGTACATATCAATATTAGTATAAATTTAAATTTCTTGAATTCAACTTATATTGAAAAATAATGAGAGATTATATTTTTTTTTATAGATAAAGGGAAAAGATTAGATAAAGGAAAAAACATCCGTTAAGATAAATAATCAAGTATATTGCAATACAAAGAAAGCATCAGTCAATTTTATCAATACTTGGCTATAAATATATTAACGATTTACTTCACATTTAAGTTAACAATAAATTTTCTTTGCTTTAACGTTTCCCCTTTTAAGTTCCACAAGATATAAACACTAGAATTATATCAAAGTTTGGAAAATATTAAAATGTAAAATACAGATTTGAAATTAGCATCACTTTGTAATGTAATTTTACCTAATCATTAAGATGAAGGTTCATTTCCTGACCTATTCCTAGCAGGAGTGTGTGTCCCTGTATTGTATCTGAGCGGTGAAATCCAGGGGTAGCCAAAACATTTCTCTTTAAGCTTACAATTTATATTTATATGACTAGGTTTATGTATTAATTCATTATATGTTATGAAAATATTTAATTATCCTTTAATTATGCTTGTCATTCTTAAAATACTAGAATACTCTAATTTTCTTTTAATTTTTTTTTTATTTTCTAGCATTTATATTTATTTTTTTATAAATTTCTACACATTAAATATTATAACTCTTCATACATATTTTAATATCATCCAGTTATCATGTTAACACTTAGGCTACTTGTGTTAGTTCAAAGTTACCTAACATAACAATAATAAAGGTCAAATTAGAATAGGCTATGAGTCGAGCATTCAATTACATACATAAATAATAGGTCTTTAATTATTAGTGTATACTTCAATATTAGGAACTGGAAAAAAACAAAACAATACTATTAAATAACTGGTAGTGTCCTCTCTAGGCAGTAATTATAATTATTTCAAGTTTAACAGAATAGAAATTGTTTATTTATTTATTTATTCACGAAAGGCTTGACCGTTAAGGAAAGAAAAATGGAAAGAAAATTATTAAAATCTATTTTTGGTAAATTTCTAACTTGAAAATCCATCATCTGTGATAAATTCAAAATATTTTCTTTAGAAATTTCTTTTTTCCCCCCAAGAACAACCTTGACTACATTACTTTGACCTTTTGTTACTTAATTATGATACATTTACTGAGAATTTTTTAAGAAATATTTTATATATATTTCATAAAAGTTAAATTTATCTATATATATTTTTTAATACTTTACAATAATTAAAAAATTAATGCTTAATATCTTTGTAATTAATATAACTGTTATAGATCTACTTCGATATAAAAAATGTTTAAAATAGGGAAATAATAGAATGAAAATAAGGAGAAAAAATGAGAATTTGGTAAAAGTATGAGTGTTTTAAATTATTTATATTTTCAGGAACTAACATTATTTGAACAGTAAGTGGCACACGTTAATACCAACTATACGTCAATATGAATTAAAATAATTATTTTAAAATAATTTAAGCGTGAAATCATTTCGAAAACAATGTTTATATTTATATAATTAAATATAACTTCCACAAGTAAGGATACATCAAATACATCACATCTTATATGTATTTTCTAAGGCATATTTGACATTTATGAGATCTGAAGTTTTCCATTCTGATGTAAAATCAATTATGCAAATATTATATAGGAATGGAAAAAGAATTCCCGAATTCAGTTCTTGTTATAAAAGTATGGAATTCATTTAATGAAATTTATTTGTCAGCTTTCAAAACGTTTTAAAAAATATATATATAAGTATGAAATAGCATTTAAACAGGAAATTACTTCATGTTTTCGCGTAATGTCACATTTTCTGTGTTCTAAATTGCTAGTAACGTGATTTCCCACACCACGTAAGTCTTGTTACATATAATAATTCAATTTTATGAAATAAAATATATATAAAATTTCATATTTTTCTACGAGAGTTATAAAACAAATTATTTTTAAACTTAAATTTTTAATTTGTAGTAAAAATACCACGAATATCTTACAATTTTCTTTTGTATATACTGTAGACTGTATCATTTCATATATATGTGAAAGAGTTATTATAATATTACTATGATGAGGTCTTTAAGAACTATTAACCTCTAAGAATTACGATAACCTTCGTTAAAATTAATTAATTGCTGTAACATTAAAGTTATTGAAGGTTATCATGCACTTAAACAATTATTCTCTATCTTGGTTATAAGTCATAATAATAGGCTTCCTATACAAGTATTTACTGCTGATTTAAATTTAAAATTCGTTAGTTAAAATTTAATTATTTTGCATTTATAACCTTCGAATTTTATTAATTTACGTTTTAGCAATTTTTAAATTTGAAAAATTCATAAATTTTGTAATTGTTAAAAATTCAAACGTTTTACTTAATAATTTTTATGATTATATTAAAATAATTAAATAAAATATTCATCTAAATAACTATTTTAAAATTTATTAATTTAATAATTTTAAAATAGCCAATAAACTGTAACTTAAAATAATCAGGTGTTATATAGATAAATTGGTTACAAAAGAATGAATAATATCCATGTTATGTACGGCTATTTCATAATTATTTTATTTAAAAATAAAATTGTATAAATGGAGTTTATTATTTAATTAATAATAAAATAACAAAGAAAAAGTCATATAGAAATTCGTAATATTCATTGTTGTTAAATCTACTTTTTACTCTGATCGCTTTGCTCAAAAGAAAGCTTTTTTTTTAAAATCTTATTTTAGATTTTTAAATGATTACTCGACGTTAACAATAGAATATTTTATTCTACATAATAGGTTTATATTTTTAGATAAAGTTTATAAATTGAACTAATTTAAATGCCAACATGTAAGTTGTTTATTTATAAATTTATAATTAACTTAAACAATATTTAAACGTTCTTTCGAATTTAGCAAAAACTCTCAATTATGCACTATATAAGTTAATAATATCATGCAATAATTTTTTTTCTACCATAAATTTTTCCAACAATATTTTATTAAAAAATTTAATTTGTCAAATAAAGTATTGTTTAATTATTAAACAGGAAATATAAACATTTCTCTTTAAGCTTACAATTTATATTTATATGACTAGGTTTATGTATTAATTCATTATATGTTATGAAAATATTTAATTATCCTTTAATTATGCTTGTCATTCTTAAAATACTAGAATACTCTAATTTTCTTTTAATTTTTTTTTTATTTTCTAGCATTTATATTTATTTTTTTATAAATTTCTACACATTAAATATTATAACTCTTCATACATATTTTAATATCATCCAGTTATCATGTTAACACTTAGGCTACTTGTGTTAGTTCAAAGTTACCTAACATAACAATAATAAAGGTCAAATTAGAATAGGCTATGAGTCGAGCATTCAATTACATACATAAATAATAGGTCTTTAATTATTAGTGTATACTTCAATATTAGGAACTGGAAAAAAACAAAACAATACTATTAAATAACTGGTAGTGTCCTCTCTAGGCAGTAATTATAATTATTTCAAGTTTAACAGAATAGAAATTGTTTATTTATTTATTTATTTATGAATATTTCAAATTAGTTTTTGAATTATTTACCAGTAGTATAATTAGAGCATAAGTATACTCTAATTATAGTAATTATAAGTAGTATAATTAGAAACGATATTGTGGGACCGAATTAGAACATACACACCTAAATTCAACCCTATACCATCGTGGATGTAGTCACTAACGCTGTGGATGAAGAATAAACTCTTAAATACTGTATATACGTGTGTATAAGTGTCATATTTAATTTGATTTTTTCTTCATTTATTTACAAAATACAATAGAAAAAGAATTTTTAAAGTTTTTAATTATACAAATACTTGATCTAATTTTAGAAGAAAGATTAAATTACATATGAAAAAAAATTATAAAAGTAAATATAAATATAACTCTGGTGATAAGTTATTAGATGAGGGATTAATCCAGGATAAATTATATACATTAATATTTTTAAGCATCCTGTTTTGACTGATCTAGGACACTTTATTGGCATTGATATATTCGAAAAAAAATCAAACCAACTAATTATAGGTCCTAATAGAATAACAGGAGAGAAAAATCAGTTGTCATTTGAACTAAAAACAACAGAGTTTTAACACATGTCATTAATCGTCTTTACGGAAATGTCACGATAACAAACGTGTCTTAACTTTATACTGATCATACTTTAAGCAGAACACGAAGATAAATATTTATGAAATAGTATATTATTCATAAATAATATAGCGGAAACATAACGTATTTAGAACTAGTACTCAAATGCGGAAATACAAGACTTAACGGATAAATAGAAATATCATTTCTTTATCTTTCTATTTCCGTTTTTGATGTTATACTCACATGTTACATAGTTGGTTAAGCTAAGTGTTATTTGTTGACCTATAAAAAATAGATTTATAATGAAAGAAAATGTGATAAACAAGATAATTCAATTTTATTAACTTCTTTCTAGTCTGTCCGTAAATTATAAGTGTGTGACTAACGAATAAGATGATGACAGAATGAGCGATGTTACAATAGAAGATTCTACGTATGATAAGATTTTGGCTTTTAAAAATGTTTTCTTAAATGTCTTCTTGGTGTTTACACGGAAAAAAAGTTAATATTAATAGAACAAAACATAAATTTGATACTGATAAACGAAAAATACAGTAAACCATAATTTTATAGGCCTTCGTGATATTGAACCACTACGAGAACACTTTTCACATTTGGATGATTATAAATATTCATCTATCTTCAGTTGCAAATACCAGGTAGATTTTCCGAATGATTGATTGATCTCATACATTATCAACGATCATTACATTTAGCCTACACTCAGGCTTTAGAGGGTGTGCCAGGGAATTTTCCCCGAACCTAGAGAAAACTTAGTTTCCAAAGCGGTTTCTACCTTATAAAATTTATGTTGTTTTTACTAATAGAAAATAAAAAATCTTAAAGACTATCTTTTATTAATAAAGAAACATTTTATATACACTATTTCATAACTATTGAACACTGATAGTTGGTCGTGTGTTCGTGCCTCGCCAACGGGTTGGCCACGTAAAGTTTTCCTGGTTTTCTTCACATTTAAAACGCCTGAATATGGCCAGTTTTCCTTAGAAAGTCCTTCCGGGAGGCATCCCCTCGGAGGTGAGTTTCGGTATACAAACAAAGAATCTAGGAACCTATTTCATTTGTATATTATAATTTTATGATAAGAATATTTAATAATTCTTTTATTAAAATAAATCACTTTATTATATACAGTAAAATCTTTAATACGTTTTTAAAAAAATTTATGCTAGTAATAATAATAACATTTATATTAATATTTGGCCTTTTAAATTAATAAAAATATTTTTATCGTAAGTAACCTAAAGATGGCGGTACATATCAATATTAGTATAAATTTAAATTTCTTGAATTCAACTTATATTGAAAAATAATGAGAGATTATATTTTTTTTTATAGATAAAGGGAAAAGATTAGATAAAGGAAAAAACATCCGTTAAGATAAATAATCAAGTATATTGCAATACAAAGAAAGCATCAGTCAATTTTATCAATACTTGGCTATAAATATATTAACGATTTACTTCACATTTAAGTTAACAATAAATTTTCTTTGCTTTAACGTTTCCCCTTTTAAGTTCCACAAGATATAAACACTAGAATTATATCAAAGTTTGGAAAATATTAAAATGTAAAATACAGATTTGAAATTAGCATCACTTTGTAATGTAATTTTACCTAATCATTAAGATGAAGGTTCATTTCCTGACCTATTCCTAGCAGGAGTGTGTGTCCCTGTATTGTATCTGAGCGGTGAAATCCAGGGGTAGCCAGCCACACACCGTTTATTATACGTAAATTTTTTTTTCTAATAAGAATAATCAAAACTTATTTCATGATTATTAACTGTTTTAAAATTATATATAAATAAGTATAAAAGTAAACACTGTATAGCAAATTCTTAATTAGGCTAAATAATATTAATAAGGGCGTCGATATTGTTTTTCCACCTGGGCGATCAACAATCCAGGAATGGCTCTGTTCATTTCTATGTTACATCAACAAAACAAATCAAAGCGGAAAAGCACACCTTGGATCTGAGTTTGGATGTCAATGCCTTTCTAACAAACTCTTTTGAAATCCCTAAAAGTCTTTCAACTGTGACCCTTACGCTGTAGGCTGTCGCTAAGCATCTTCCCACCTACGGCTTTTATCAATATATCTTGCAAAGTCAAACCACCGTGAAAAGGCATAAAAAGACTCCAGGAATTAGATTTAATCTTCCCCGGAGGTTTCCCGACTAGCACAGCATCTAACATCATGGAATTAGATTAATGTTCTCTTGAAGCATTTCAATTCTGATACTTTAGGTTGCGGTTTCTGAGTCGCTAAAGCCCATAACATAGCTCATCTCAATATATCTCGCAAAATCATGCCAAATGGAAGAATATAGGAAGATTCTGGTAAATAAATCTACTTTTTTTCTAGGAAATTCTGGCCGGGGCTCTGATTCGATAGCAGGGGCGTCCATATACATGGGGAACTTGGGGTACGTGCCTCCCCCCTTTGTCGTCGGATTGCCCTTTTCTTAAACTGTGTCACAAAATTTTTACCGGGTTGCTAGTGGTAATCGATGGTAAAAAAAAATAGACTTACAGATCGTCATATCTGATGAATACTCGAGTAATCTCAACCACTTTGCTAACAATCCTTGAATGGAGAGTGGTATCTCACCTTTGTAAAACAACAAAGAAAACGCAAAAGAATGGTGAGAGCGGTGGAACCTCTGTCACTTCCGGCTAGCTGTGTGCGTATATAGTTCTATTATGCTTGTACTTTGCTCGTTTAACACGTTGAAATCATCTTAATATTTTAAAAACTAAAACAGTTATAAAATACAAATAAATAATTATGAGTTGTTATTATTTTACTTTGGATGAAGAGGCTAAAGCTGGATATAAAGGAAAGCTTAACTAGCATCCTCTCGTTCAGTTTTACACCAAACTAGGTGAGTACTCTTACACTTTGGTGACAACACGCAAGCCACATCATGACCAGGAAGGCACTTTTCGATTTTAACGTTGCCCACAACCCTCCCGATCCTATTAACTTCCGGTTTCAGGGCCTTATTAACTATACGTGAACTTCAGATGCAAACCGAAAGTCACGTTATTTCAATTCAAAGATTTTTCCCTGAAAGGTGTTAGATAGATGACCGGCATGACTCTATTGTTAACGGAAAAGTATGATGTACAGGGGCAAGCCACTACAAATTTGAGGTGGAGAGCATATATTTTAAATTAAATAAATAAAAAAATATGATTATAAATTTCAACTCGGCATTGTGACGATCTCACAATAAATAATTGCTCGTTTTAATTTTTTCAAACATATCTAAACAAGATAAAATATAGTGAAACAAATGGGAGAAAACTTGGCTTTTGTCATTTGATTTTTTTGCAAAGTTTACTTAATACAAACCTCGTGTATATGAAGTGATAATTTTTAAGTCCCTTCAACTTATTATTAACGGGGCTTGACTGTACTGTAATCTTAAAATACAGGGTGCCTACATTGAAATGCCGATTTTGAATACTTATAACAATTCAGCAATGAAATAATTTCAGGCCAGTGTTATATTTGGTGTTGTGCAGGAGATTAAAAAAACCTGTTAGGTGGCTGCATTTTTTACGATATTTTATGCCAAAATTTCAGTCGTTATATCATTTTTATACCTGTTCACTACACAGACAATCATTATTGCCATCAAGGTGACCTTCATTTCACCTTGTTGCGATCTCTGAAGGTCAATTATATTTTATCCAAATGTATCTCCGTTGCTACCATACAACTACGAAGAAACGGGATTATGATAGTTCACTTATGTTAAGAGATATTCAAGGTGGCAATAGTTATTGCCTCACCCTGTATATTATGAATCTGGATAGTTTATAAAATATATTTATACTGGTAGTATTATTATTTAATGTTAATGATTAATATTTCTCTAAGTTAAGGCTGAAATTTATTATAAAATATATGATAATTAAGACAATAATTATTTGCTCTGAAACATTCTCAAATCACTTTTATTTATTAAAAATTCATATTTATTAATTACTAAAAAAATTATTTAATTTTTTACTACAGATAATAGCTATACTTCACATTTATATTATTGATAAGAAAGTGCAGAAGTGATAAACTTAACTGAATATCTTTTCCAAATAATATTTTGTGATTAAAAAAAATAAGGCCTGATATGGATTTCTAGACATTTATCAATACATCATATCTTTTAAAAGTTTATTAGTATATATTATTGTAATATAATATAATTATCATGCAATTTTTGTTGTAAGAGGAAATCTACACGGCGACACCAATCCTAGATATAGTAGTGTATACACTTCTGGACAACACCTAGATTCGTGTGTCCAGACCAGGATTTTTTTTTACTCTTTCCGCCCCGTGGGCACTAAGAGGGCCTCTTTTAGAAAGTCCATTATGGATTCGGCCAGGCCCATAATGGGGCAGCCTAACAGTTTAGGCCAGTCGCGGATCGAGAAGTAACTAAAGGGGGCTAACTGAAAAATAAAAATTTTTGAATAATTATAATACCTTCATTAACACGGGCATGATGTCAGGTTTAACACGATTCCAATCTTTCACTCGTTATGTATACATAACAGCCGGGAAAGTAAACAGCGAAAAAAGGAATAAAAGGAAAAAAACAACAAACTGCACAAATATGGGCGCTAGCAGACGTTAATCCATGTTGATTTACAAAGACTATACGGTAAAAAATAATTTAGATCAAGTCACTTCCGTCACATGAGTTGTAGACAGTCTAAACTGGGGATGACGAAACTATGGCAAGCGTGCACAAAGTGCACGTAAGGAAAAATCATCTGGCACGTAACGTATCATATTATTTCGATTTATCATCTGTCTTTTTCGATCACTCTTTCAAGTTTATCACCAGATCATCCTTTTTCAATCAGCTATTTTACATTTATTCTAATTAAAACATATTCGTTTAATTTATTTAAATATCGTTATTCGAAGTCAAAAACTTTGGCACGCATAAACATCTTTAAAACTAACTTGTAAGTATACTATATGGCCACGCGGGCTCAAAAAGGTTGGCCACTTCTGGCCTAGACACTATCTAGCGATGCCAGAAACAACCTAATGTACGAAACAAGTAGGCGTATAGACTTTAAAAAATGAAGTACAGTACGTGTGGACAGCAGACACTAGGACATAAATGCTAACACCGGATGTCTCCGTGTAAACCGGCCTAGCGTGAAGTTAAAATACTAAATTTTGTAATTGGATAAGACATTGGTTACTTTTATCTAATTTTTCTTGTTTATAGTAATTAAAATTTTTAAGTGAATATTACTATTAAATTGTAAAACTAGATAAATTGGCCTTGACGATATGTTTGCAGATAAAAAGATATTTAGGTTACATAAGTTATATATATATATTACTCTCCTTTAAGATAAAATATTACTTGGATTCAACTTAAGTAAGTACTAGTAGTGTGCAAGCTCTAAATTTTAAATACATATTCTTGTTATAATAATGAAACAAATATATTATTTCATATAGTATTTTCATTTATGAATTTTATTAATATATTTTCTTTATTTCTTAAACAGGTCTATATTTTTTGAAAAAAGGTACATTATTTTTAGAAACTGTTCAATTAAAATGGAGTTTCCAACGGCAGGAAAGGTATTCTCTATTCAATTTGTTTTAGTCGAAAGTTTGAAATATGTTTATATTTAATATTAACATACAAAAAATGTTTTAATATTTTTGATTTTTTTAATAGCCCATTCAATGTAAAGCTGCTATTACTTTAGGAATTAATAAACCTACTATTATTGATACTGTAGAAGTTGCAGTTCCTAAATCGTGGGAAGTTAGAGTTAAGGTATGTTTTATAATTATAAAACACTTCTTTAAATTTGTGATGGCTCTAATTTGTCTTCAGGACACATATGTTTTATGACAATTTATTAATTAAAATTTCACCTACTTTACCACTTGAAAAATAATTAAGAGTCAACACTACTATAATTAAGCATTTCTTGGTAATCATAGGATTTACTTTTAATAAGATATTCATATATAGCTGGATATTCTAAAGGTGGTCATTCTCTCGTGTCATTTTTCCACGATTTTATAGTACTAATTGATGAAAATAAAATAGAAAATGGGGGGCGTAGTCGGTAACGTCACAGTACGGAAAAATACACGAACCTTCTTTGGAAACTTGTGGCTATATGTAGCATGAATATACTAAAATGATATCTGTAATAAGGACGAAATTATTGTAAAAGAACAAAGAATGTGATCTTTTAAATGCTTTTAAAAAAGCCAGCAACGAGTAGTATAACTTTTCCAGCATTTATTAAAAATTGTGTGCGCCGCAATCTATTATGAGATTTTATTTTAAAAAGTTTTTATCATATTAATTATTATAAAATGGCAAAAAGCTTAATTTTGAGGATCGAGATGAGTTTAATAAAAAATTGTAAATGTTAATAAAATAAAAACCTTCATTAAGTCCATTCCCACTCTAAATCTGACACGATCCTTTTTCTCTTGATCTTTAACCATCAAAATTTAACAGTATCGATCCTCTTAATACACAAATTACCCTGAAAAATTTCAGAAATTTTCTACAAAAGGCACAGCTGTTTGTACTAAAGCCCAGAGCTGGGCTTAGAGGTATTTTTACCCGAGGCAGGAGGCTAAACTTTCGCCTCTATGTATATAGTTTTTTTTTATTTTTAATAAATAAATAAATGATTTTGAGAACAAAATACATTTATTAATTATTAAATTTAAAGAAAAAAAATCTAGCAACGAGTTGCGTAACTTTCCCGGCTTTTATGAGATTTTATTTTAAAAATAACATTTGTCTCATTAATCAAAATAAATAACTAAAATTGTATGTGGCGCCATCTGTTACGAGATTTTGTTATAAAAATTCTTTTGCTGTTTTATAACAATTAAAAATATATAGACTTAATTTTGAGGATAGATACAAGTTTTATAAAAACTATAAATGCTAACAAGTAAAATCTTTACTAAGTCTGACCCCCTCGCGAGATACGACACGTGTCCATCCCCTTGACCTTTCACAACCAAAATTTAATAGCATCAATGCCCCATATATACAAGCTACCACGCCAAATTTCGTTTCTTCATCTTTACCCCGTCCTGAGATATTAACCGAAATAGACGCCAATACACACACACATATCCACGGAATTTTTCTTCCCATTTTTGACTTTTTTGGGTTCAGGAGGTCTCAAAATGTGATTTACAAAATCCGCGTTTTCTCCTTGTCTGGTCCACGGTCACATCTAATTTTATCCGTAATAGGCGACCATGAAGGAAGATCGTTGAAATTAATAGAATAAACACCTCTTTTTCTTGTTTTGTCTAATTTTCTCGTATTTCAATTTTTCTTCAACTTCACTTCTTTTTTCATGATCTTCAATAGTAGTGTTTTCTTCAAATTAAATCATGTTTTCTTGAGCCTCGATCGGTATTGTCTCAAGAGAACAGCTTTTATTGTACTCGGTTTTTCTAGCCAAGTTTGCAACTGTATTACATTATGTTGATTTGTTTCATTTCTCAATTATCTTCTTTTCCTATATTCGGCACCATTGAGTTTTCTTGACGCCATTAGTAACGAGGAAAAGAGTGTATAGATGACGCAAATCGTTAGTGTGCTTAATTAAAGTATTTGACGAACATTGCAAGATACATTTCGCTTTTTATTTTGCAATTTATTAGTTGTCATTTTTCACCAATCGTTTGCCTCACCCTTGTCCCTGCTCTGCTAAAGCCAATCAAATTCGAAACTAACCGCTTTTTAAAATTAGCATGTTTTCTGGTAATTCTGGATTTCTGGAAGCCTGATATTTGATCCGGCACTGTCATAGGCATCCGCAGAGGGGGCCAAACGAGGCACTTGCCTTCCCTTGCAATTGAGTAAAACACTCCATAAACTATAAACGTAAAAATAACAAGGTAAAAGTAAAATTATTGATTTTTCATTTTGCACTGTTAGGTAGTAGCAACAGGAGTATGCCATTCGGATTTATTCTACATTGAAGGTGGAAGGGACGATTTCCCTTTTCCTTGTATTCTTGGTCACGAAGGAGCAGGAATTGTAGAAAGTGTAGGCAAGGACGTAACAAACGTAAAGCCAGGTGAGCATATCTTTTAAAAATTTACTTTAGATTTTAATTTTTTAAACAATAATAATAATAATATTTTTACAGGGGATCATGTGGTATTACTCTTCATACCGCAATGCAGAGAATGCAAATTGTGTAAGCATCCCAAAACTAATATGTGTGAAAAGTTTGAGTAAGTATATTTCTTTATGAAAATGATCATTACTGATTAGTCATTACATAAAAAGGCCTTAACATTTGTACGCAAGCTAATGTACAGTACGTGCAAATGTTAATTCCTCGTGCATACTATGCTTGTAAAATAGCCATTACGTATTTAATATAATAATTAGAGAAATCAATTTTTTCAGGATATATCACGATAACTGCGTCATGTACGACAATACAACTAGAATAACATATAAAGGACAACAAGTATACCAATTCAATGGAATCAGTACGTTCTCGGAATATACAGTAGCTGGTGCGATTGCAGTAGTGAAGGTGATTAAAATGTTTTGTGTGTTAAAATGATTAAAAAGATTTAATGTTGCATTTTATTAAGAAAATTTAAATTTTTATAATTTAGATAAACGATAAAGCACCCATGGATAAAGTTTGTCTTTTAGGTTGTTGCATATGTACCGGTTACGGGTCAGCTATTAATGCTGCAGATGTTCAACCTGGTTCGACGTGTGCAGTTTGGGGACTGGGAGGTGTTGGCATGGCTGTTCTCATGGGATGTCGGGCAAGAGGAGCTAAGAGAATTATTGGAATAGACGTCAATCCAGATAAATATGAACTTGGTAAATCGATCTTCATTTTAATACGTACATTCATTTACATGTTCTGTAATTAAAAGTCAATTTTAGCAGCACCCAGAACTAAGGTTTCTATTAACTACTAGTCTGAGGGCAAATCAAATAACAGTCTTTCCTTTAAACATGATAAACAATTCTCTCTCCCATTATTGTTGAAATTTACTTTTATTCTCAATACTTTTCGCTTTACGTATTCTCGTTTGTTTTGGGGCTACACATTTTTATGTATTTAGAAGAAATTTAGAATAATTACGGAATTGTAAACTACCATTAATGCCTAGAAACATACATATGCACAACAGTTATAGACTCACGACAGGTGTCATCATATTTTTTTTCCTCCCTCCCTCAGCAAAGAAGTTTGGATGTACCGAATTCTTAAATCCTAATGACTATAACGAACCTATTGAAGACGTTTTGATAAAAATGACCGGAGGATTGGATTATACTTTTGTATCAGTAGGAAATATACCTGCTATTGTGAGTTACATATACCAGTTTAATTTTCGAGCTAAAATACTGCTATGTCATATATCACTGATTATCGTTTTTTTTCTAGAATTCTGGATTGAGAGCAGCACATAGATGTTGGGGTGTAGCAATATTGATTGGATTAGGAGATTTTAACAAGACACTTGGTGCTAAAACTTTAGATCTTTTGAAAGGAAAAACATGGAAGGGAAGCGTTTTTGGAGGTAAAAATGTTATAATAGTTTTAAATAAACTTTGTCTTAAACATTGAATATATACTTTTTATTTTCTATGTGTAGGAATGACAGGTGACGATATTCCTAAATTGGTAGATATGTATTTGGAAGGAAAATTAATGGTTGATGAATTTGTAACAAACACTGTGCCACTTGAAAAAATAAATGAAGCGTATGAACTCATGAATAAACCTTCCAAATTGTAAGTATAAAATTCAGTTTTTTTTATTATTATTATTGATTTTTAAGCATTGATATTGAACAAATTTCAACTTCGAAACTCTGAATAGGATTCGGCCATTTTATATTCAAAATTTAACACATTACTAATACTCGGCATTTCACAGTACTGACGAATGTTCTGAAGTCACTTAGGATGAAATTCAGAACTATCACTCAAAAGCCACTCGTCCTTACCTTATACATTCCTTAATTCAGTTGAGTATGAGTACAATTCATTCTCACATTTGATATTCAGTGAGGTTGGAATGAATGATTAACATAAGTACTCATATCAGGGACGTCTTATTTTCGTAATGAAATGTGGCGTATTCGCTTTATATTGATATCTGAACGTGCTTATTTTACTATTTTTGTGAGGTTATCGGAAATTTTTAAAATTTTGTTACTTTCAATATTTAAATCCATTAAATATTGTTGATTACTGAACATAAATAACGTAAAACGAAACAGATGCAAACTTAGATATTAGAGCAGGGGTCGCCAAAGTGGTCGATATGGACCCCCAGGGGTCGATGCAACATCATTGGGGGTTCNTATAAACTTTTAGTGAAAGTAAATGATCATTTATTTCATTAATTTATGGTTTTATTGATATTGCAATCATCATTTTGCAACTTCTGCCTTAAAAAGTAACCTTATAGATGCCGATAATAAGGATATCTCTGTCACTGTTAAAATTTTCTAAAATAGAAAATTATATAGGTTACAAATCTGCAGGAAAAAATAACCTATTTTTTCCTGCAGATTCATCATTTAATCTAATACAATAAAAGTTAAAGAAGAATTAAAGAACGATAAGAACAAAAAGAGAATTAGAAAAACAGTCGTGACAATTGTTATCTTTCTAAAAATATATAAAAATATTTTTTAAAATTACTTTTAAAAATATATTAAATTTTTAACACAATCTTTTGTTTCAAAATCCTCTACGTTAACGTCACGTTTATAATCTTATTTTTATAAGTTTATTCAAAGCACATATTGCAGCCTCACTTCACGTCATCTCCTTCATCCTTTGGAACAGATTATTGTTCACTGGTTTAGTTAAAAATTACTTAAATTAATTCACTTATATTACGAAGATTTATGAAAAGTATATTTAGTGAAAAGAATTCCACCTATGTTCTAGACTATTTATTATAATAAAAAATATAAATGGAATTTTCTATTATATTACATGAAATTAAGAATTTAATAGTCTAATTAAGATGTAGAAGCCAAATATTAAATAAATAAAATGAGTAAAAAGAGCTTATAGAAGTAGAGTGTAGTTACGTGTTTGGTGTAGGCCTATACATTCTGATTGTGTAAAACAAATTAAACACATTATTATATGAAGTTTTAAGATATAAGTCGACGTTCCATTAATAAAAATATGTTAAATTCATTATTCCAGAATCATAAAAGAAGTATTAAACTGTATAAAGAGAAAATAAGCCAGTAATTTTGCAGTAATTTATAAAGTGTTTTTTTAAACAATAGAAACTATTGAAAATATACTAAAATATATTTTTTATATCAAATTAGTACAAAAACATCATGATTCAACGTTTTATTCGATAGTTTATACACCTTATGATAAGGGATTTCCCACACGAATAATAAATTTTGATACGTTATCTACTCCAAAAAACAAAATAAAGATTTAAATTACAAATACTTTATTATCAAAAAAAATTTAATATTATCATAAAACATGTGCGTAATTTTTAAATACAAGAAATAAAAATGAAAGCATTTCAAAAGAAATATAGGATAGAATATATTTAAGAAGAAAGGAAGTTTTAATACAGTTGTTGTCTGTTCATAGCGGCGTATGAAAGCTTAATAGTTAAAAGAGTTGTCTATCAGTATTACAGTGATCGTATTGTAAGAATAGTTGCGGTTATTGTATGCGCTTTACATAGATCTTGTATCATTCTATCAACCTATACATTACGTATTATCTCCGATAAAATAAATTATGAAATAAATAAATAGTATAAAGTGCAAAAGGCACTTTCACAGATAACACAAACTGTAAACTTTTTAACATTAAATTCGAATAACTTTACCAGTATAATTTAAACACATCGATACTTCTTTACTGATTTCCCCCTCCATAAAATAAATTATAATTATTTTAAAATTTTAATATAGCTTCTGATTAGAAAGATATTACATATTATAGCGTTAAGAATTGTATATATAATTATTATTTTAAATTTTATTAATCATGTTACATATGTGTAGTATTTTTTTACGGTTAGATAACATTTAAACAATATCCATTTATCAAAGGAAGGAAGCAGAAATCATAACAGAATTTTCCGAATAACGTTGCCATTAAAACAATTAACTCAATCTTGTACACTTAATTACTTACTTACTTATTTATTTATTTTTAATAACTGTTCGTTAAGTGTAAGAAGAACTTTTTAAAAAGAATAATGTATTTTCAACTTAACTAAATTATCTAATTTCTTGGAATAAGTAACCAGATAGAATTACAGGAATTAAAGATTAGTTAAAGATCAACTTTTAATCTAAATGTAATATTTTATAATTATAAATAACGTTTGAATGGATAAAAAAAAATACCAGTTTTTAGTGACTGTACGTCTTGTTAGTAAAATCAAATATTCGTGTTCAGTTTAGTAATACAAAAAACACACGAAAGGCTTGACCGTTAAGGAAAGAAAAATGGAAAGAAAATTATTAAAATCTATTTTTGGTAAATTTCTAACTTGAAAATCCATCATCTGTGATAAATTCAAAATATTTTCTTTAGAAATTTCTTTTTTCCCCCCAAGAACAACCTTGACTACATTACTTTGACCTTTTGTTACTTAATTATGATACATTTACTGAGAATTTTTTAAGAAATATTTTATATATATTTCATAAAAGTTAAATTTATCTATATATATTTTTTAATACTTTACAATAATTAAAAAATTAATGCTTAATATCTTTGTAATTAATATAACTGTTATAGATCTACTTCGATATAAAAAATGTTTAAAATAGGGAAATAATAGAATGAAAATAAGGAGAAAAAATGAGAATTTGGTAAAAGTATGAGTGTTTTAAATTATTTATATTTTCAGGAACTAACATTATTTGAACAGTAAGTGGCACACGTTAATACCAACTATACGTCAATATGAATTAAAATAATTATTTTAAAATAATTTAAGCGTGAAATCATTTCGAAAACAATGTTTATATTTATATAATTAAATATAACTTCCACAAGTAAGGATACATCAAATACATCACATCTTATATGNGAAATTGTTTATTTATTTATTTATTTATGAATATTTCAAATTAGTTTTTGAATTATTTACCAGTAGTATAATTAGAGCATAAGTATACTCTAATTATAGAGATCTACTTCGATATAAAAAATGTTTAAAATAGGGAAATAATAGAATGAAAATAAGGAGAAAAAATGAGAATTTGGTAAAAGTATGAGTGTTTTAAATTATTTATATTTTCAGGAACTAACATTATTTGAACAGTAAGTGGCACACGTTAATACCAACTATACGTCAATATGAATTAAAATAATTATTTTAAAATAATTTAAGCGTGAAATCATTTCGAAAACAATGTTTATATTTATATAATTAAATATAACTTCCACAAGTAAGGATACATCAAATACATCACATCTTATATGTATTTTCTAAGGCATATTTGACATTTATGAGATCTGAAGTTTTCCATTCTGATGTAAAATCAATTATGCAAATATTATATAGGAATGGAAAAAGAATTCCCGAATTCAGTTCTTGTTATAAAAGTATGGAATTCATTTAATGAAATTTATTTGTCAGCTTTCAAAACGTTTTAAAAAATATATATATAAGTATGAAATAGCATTTAAACAGGAAATTACTTCATGTTTTCGCGTAATGTCACATTTTCTGTGTTCTAAATTGCTNGTATTCGTGGAAATTTCCAAAATTTACAACTTTTCGGATACTCTCGAACTAAAAAAATTTGTTTATATTACGTCTAATATTATTACAAAGAAATGAGTCCCCACTGTACTCCGCTAGAGATTGGGTCGGTTATTAAGCTTTTAAGTAATATTCCGGCTCTTTCAGCAGAGTTTTATTTATGTCCCTAATTCCTTAATTATTTAACTACTTCTTAAGTAGAAATAAGTCGAAACCGGTTACTTCGTACTCGAATATCTGTAGTCTCGGAGAAAAAAGTGGAAAGACAAATTTTTACGACAAACGGATACATAAATCGTAAATTTAAGGAAAATAAATTCTAGAGCTTTTTTGTACGTCGTGTGTCTCGTTCATTAAATTTGGTTGTAAATGCTGCCAAAGTAACAGTTAATTTTTTAACATTGTGCAAGAATTGTACACGTTTTTTTTCCTACATCCCCTTATAGATGGGATATACTAAATCGTAGTATCACTAGTTTAACATTGAAATCTAAGTAATACAAGATGGGAGAGCGGAATAAATATATCAAATATTTTAATGGATTTTTTAAACTGTCAACTATACAAAACTATCATAAAAACGTACCAGTAAACTCCTGTCCGTTAGGTTGTTATAAATGTACTCGCGATTCACAAAATGGAGCGAAGGAGGCCAAATATCTAGCGGGCGGATGGGTAACAGCCCAGAAACGATCCGGGACCCCGCCTCTCTTTATGCAGCGCTCGAGAAGCGCTTTACAGCGAACACACTGAAACTGGTTTCTAATTGGCCAACACTGCTCGTGACGTCATATCGCTACACTCTCGCTGCATAAAGAAACGCGGGGGGATAGAATTGGATGCGGTATGTGTGTAGCATTGACTCAAGGTCCTAGGCTTCCACCAGCTAAACTGGGTGAGGTTGGTGCTCTGTAAAGCGCATGTGCGAATCTGGCTTAATTCTGCCCTCTCCCCCGCGGGTGCCGATAAATCCCTTCTTAGTGTACATTCTGTTGACGTACCCTATTAAAACGCAATCAAAAACACAAAAACTCACATCTAAAATAGTATAAATAGAAGCAGAGTTCTTTACCATAAGCCTTAATCCTAACCATCTCTCTTCAGTGGGGGGAATTTCGACACGTATATTATATAAAAACACGTGCGTATTCGAATGCAGCGTTGTGTCAAAATTTTAAAGGAATCGGTAGAACAAACGAACATTACATTTTTATTTATATAGATAGGTAGATGATGATCTGCTTTAGTTCATTTTCACAGAAAAGCAAACTTAGGGCGTCGTACTCGTAGCGCCATCTGTTGGACATAAAAGCCTTAACCTAGATTATATAATTTATATGAATGTTTAACGGAATAATATACAGCCTATGTCCACCCTGAGGTTCCATTCTAAATATTGGTGAAAGAATTTNAAATTGCTAGTAACGTGATTTCCCACACCACGTAAGTCTTGTTACATATAATAATTCAATTTTATGAAATAAAATATATATAAAATTTCATATTTTTCTACGAGAGTTATAAAACAAATTATTTTTAAACTTAAATTTTTAATTTGTAGTAAAAATACCACGAATATCTTACAATTTTCTTTTGTATATACTGTAGACTGTATCATTTCATATATATGTGAAAGAGTTATTATAATATTACTATGATGAGGTCTTTAAGAACTATTAACCTCTAAGAATTACGATAACCTTCGTTAAAATTAATTAATTGCTGTAACATTAAAGTTATTGAAGGTTATCATGCACTTAAACAATTATTCTCTATCTTGGTTATAAGTCATAATAATAGGCTTCCTATACAAGTATTTACTGCTGATTTAAATTTAAAATTCGTTAGTTAAAATTTAATTATTTTGCATTTATAACCTTCGAATTTTATTAATTTACGTTTTAGCAATTTTTAAATTTGAAAAATTCATAAATTTTGTAATTGTTAAAAATTCAAACGTTTTACTTAATAATTTTTATGATTATATTAAAATAATTAAATAAAATATTCATCTAAATAACTATTTTAAAATTTATTAATTTAATAATTTTAAAATAGCCAATAAACTGTAACTTAAAATAATCAGGTGTTATATAGATAAATTGGTTACAAAAGAATGAATAATATCCATGTTATGTACGGCTATTTCATAATTATTTTATTTAAAAATAAAATTGTATAAATGGAGTTTATTATTTAATTAATAATAAAATAACAAAGAAAAAGTCATATAGAAATTCGTAATATTCATTGTTGTTAAATCTACTTTTTACTCTGATCGCTTTGCTCAAAAGAAAGCTTTTTTTTTAAAATCTTATTTTAGATTTTTAAATGATTACTCGACGTTAACAATAGAATATTTTATTCTACATAATAGGTTTATATTTTTAGATAAAGTTTATAAATTGAACTAATTTAAATGCCAACATGTAAGTTGTTTATTTATAAATTTATAATTAACTTAAACAATATTTAAACGTTCTTTCGAATTTAGCAAAAACTCTCAATTATGCACTATATAAGTTAATAATATCATGCAATAATTTTTTTTCTACCATAAATTTTTCCAACAATATTTTATTAAAAAATTTAATTTGTCAAATAAAGTATTGTTTAATTATTAAACAGGAAATATAAACATTTCTCTTTAAGCTTACAATTTATATTTATATGACTAGGTTTATGTATTAATTCATTATATGTTATGAAAATATTTAATTATCCTTTAATTATGCTTGTCATTCTTAAAATACTAGAATACTCTAATTTTCTTTTAATTTTTTTTTTATTTTCTAGCATTTATATTTATTTTTTTATAAATTTCTACACATTAAATATTATAACTCTTCATACATATTTTAATATCATCCAGTTATCATGTTAACACTTAGGCTACTTGTGTTAGTTCAAAGTTACCTAACATAACAATAATAAAGGTCAAATTAGAATAGGCTATGAGTCGAGCATTCAATTACATACATAAATAATAGGTCTTTAATTATTAGTGTATACTTCAATATTAGGAACTGGAAAAAAACAAAACAATACTATTAAATAACTGGTAGTGTCCTCTCTAGGCAGTAATTATAATTATTTCAAGTTTAACAGAATAGAAATTGTTTATTTATTTATTTATTTATGAATATTTCAAATTAGTTTTTGAATTATTTACCAGTAGTATAATTAGAGCATAAGTATACTCTAATTATAGTAATTATAAGTAGTATAATTAGAAACGATATTGTGGGACCGAATTAGAACATACACACCTAAATTCAACCCTATACCATCGTGGATGTAGTCACTAACGCTGTGGATGAAGAATAAACTCTTAAATACTGTATATACGTGTGTATAAGTGTCATATTTAATTTGATTTTTTCTTCATTTATTTACAAAATACAATAGAAAAAGAATTTTTAAAGTTTTTAATTATACAAATACTTGATCTAATTTTAGAAGAAAGATTAAATTACATATGAAAAAAAATTATAAAAGTAAATATAAATATAACTCTGGTGATAAGTTATTAGATGAGGGATTAATCCAGGATAAATTATATACATTAATATTTTTAAGCATCCTGTTTTGACTGATCTAGGACACTTTATTGGCATTGATATATTCGAAAAAAATCAAACCAACTAATNCAAAAATAATAAAATACTGCACTAAAATGATTGCGCAGTAATTTTATGAAAAATTACATATCATAATTTTTGTCTTTAATAATATTTAATAGAGTTCATTAATTTTGTTTCACAATTTTCCAGAAAAAATTACAACACAACATTTCATATTCTAAATCATATATATATGATATATTAATTAAAAAACATTTCAGTATTTTATCATCATTACTACGATTCTTTTTAAAATCTAAAATATATTCAATTTATTGAATAAATATATATAATAATTCTTAAAACGGATTTCTTGATAGTATAAATAAATCTTCTATACAGAACAAAATGATTTTTAATCAGAAGAATTTTATTTTTTAAGTAATTACTGTATATCATGTATTTTTAATTGTTAGAGCAAAGAAAACATTGTTTTTAACAATACATTACCCACTTTTATTTGTGCAATCAATAGTATAATAATAAATATATAATTTGTTTAAAATAAACATAATTCTTAAAGATGTAAATCCATTTAGAAAGTCTAAAATATTAAAATATTTTACTACTTTTATATAATCATGCCATTGTGCAAGTTTTTGGGAGAAACTGAAAATGATTTATATGGTAACAACAATGAATACATAATAATTGAATAAAATGTTTAATATTAATGAGTATGGATTTACATTTATTAGAATGGCATGTAAAACATTCTACACAAAATATAAAAAAGTTCTTAAAATTAACTCGATTGCTTTAGAATCTAAACAAATCAAATTTCAACAATTTAATAAATTCAATAACTGAAAAAGTCTTTCACATAATATTCGATATATGCAATTTACAATATTTAAAATTTTCAACTGCATTAATTTAGCTTGCCTGTATAGTCCTTATTTTCAATGTTTGTTTCATCAGTCACTGAAAATATGCACATGTATATATGTGGCAAAATAAAACAAAACATTCAGAGGAAAAAAAAATGACGATGACATGTCTTAGGTACTACTAGCAAATTAACCAGATGATGATGACCATGATCAACAGACTAGTCTTATGGCTTAATGAAAAGAACCACGGAATCCTCGGCTTTGTTGAAAGCCGTGGCCCTGAAAGTTTCGATTACCAAATCCTCTCCCGCGGTGAAATCCGCGCCCGGATGACATTCCCTGATCGCGAAATCCGCGACCGGGAGATCTACCGCGATTGAATCCCCTTCCTCGACCAAATCTTCGGTTGGGAGACATCTTACGACTACGATTGAATCCACGTCGTGGAAAATAGGATCTTCGCGATTTGTAACCATGATCTGAAATGTAAATAACAAATAAAATTATTTAATAACAAATTCCACAATTTCTATTTTCAATTATTCAATGTTTTAATACAGTCAACCTCCCTATAACACTGTTGATAATTCCATTTTATATGAATTCCATGTTGTACGAGTCACTTAGATTTTACAAATACGTGTGCTGGGCTGTGAACGGCTCACGTATTTGTAAAATCTAAGAGACTCGTATAACACGGAATTCATATAAAACGGAATTATCAACAGTGTTATAGGGGGGAGTCGACTGTAAACCTGTTTAACTTGAATCCTGAAAAATTTAAATTAATTAAAATTAACCGCATTTTAAATAATTATGTAATTAAATAAAAATAATTTTATTTTAAGTTATAATAAAGCAATAAAAATGAAATTCTTAAAAAAGATAGGTATATGGTCCATACATATAAAATACATTATGAAAATTATTAATTAAAAAATACTTTAAAATAATATATTATGACAATGTTGTTCTATAAATTCAAAAAATATTTTTACATCATTAGATCCATATCACAAATTTGATACAAAAGCTTTAGAAATACATGACTTAACTGGTACTGGTAAACATATCAATATTTAAAATAAATTGCTTCTACAAATACATAAACACTATTTAGAAGTAAACAACCACAAAAAAAATATGTATTCTATATAATATATATATATTTTTTATTATTATAATCATTATGTCAGTTATTATACATAACAATTGCACAATTTGAAAGCATCAAATTGCGAATAATTACTTGCTAAAAATATTAATTTTTACTGAAATATGCACGTAAATTTAATTTTGTGCATTGTTGTGCATTACTTTTTAATAGCAGCTGACAGAAGTAAAAAAAAAAAATTGAATGANGGAAGCCTGATATTTGATCCGGCACTGTCATAGGCATCCGCAGAGGGGGCCAAACGAGGCACTTGCCTTCCCTTGCAATTGAGTAAAACACTCCATAAACTATAAACGTAAAAATAACAAGGTAAAAGTAAAATTATTGATTTTTCATTTTGCACTGTTAGGTAGTAGCAACAGGAGTATGCCATTCGGATTTATTCTACATTGAAGGTGGAAGGGACGATTTCCCTTTTCCTTGTATTCTTGGTCACGAAGGAGCAGGAATTGTAGAAAGTGTAGGCAAGGACGTAACAAACGTAAAGCCAGGTGAGCATATCTTTTAAAAATTTACTTTAGATTTTAATTTTTTAAACAATAATAATAATAATTCTATTATTATTACAGTGGTGTCCTGGAAACTTGACTCTCGATAATTCGACATTCTGTAAAACTTGTGTTGTTAAAAGAAATCTATAACTTAACACTAGAATCTATCATTCATCCCTCACGACACTTGATAATAGCATTAATTGTGTGTTAACAAAGAATATAAGTCTTTTTCCAAGATGTCACTACAAAACACCACAAGGCAAATGTCACTAACTCAAAAGTAGTGACTGAATAAATTTTAAGTTTAAAAAATGGTTAACTACAAACAGAAATAGTCACTATTGGTAAGTAGATATGTGAATTTGTACAAATATTTACAAAAATTCCACTATTTAGACTAGCTTCGTAGGTTTTCTCATTTTACTGTTAACACAGGAGCCAATAAAACTTATTTTTGGCAACTTGTTACCTTATCAGTCCACATTAAGTCACATTTTCAGAACACTACTGAGTATGTTCGTAAAGTTGAACGAGTTAAACATGTTAGTAACGAATCTTTCTAATAGTAGTAGTCTCACTCAGTGCACATGCTCTGCAGTGATGACATTTCGAACGAAACTCTAACAAAGTTCACAAAGGAAAAAGTTAATTCACTTTGTTAAGAAAATGGTGCCTGACGACATTGATGTTTCTAAATCTAATCGAGTATTTAAACTGTGAATTAAAAGGTGAAATGATAGAAATAACTGTCCACCCGAAGCAATGTAAGAAAAATATTTCGGATAAGGCTGCACTAGCAACATTCATATCTTCGATTTTAGAAACAGCCATTTAGTTATAAACGAATCGATCGAAAAGTCTAACGAAATAAGAATAACAATGACGTCATTCTCGTTTAACTTGTTCGAATTTACGAATGTACCCTACAGTCTGTGTATTAACAAAGAAAAAAAAAATTTCTTGTTAAAGGATACAATTCTTCATCTTATTTCAATCTATCAAGTTATTGTTAATTTTATTACAACCACTGAACACTAGTAGCTGATTGTAATGCCTTACCAACGGGCTGGCTATGTAGAGAGTTCCAGGTTTTCTTCACATGTAAACACCTAAATAGGGGCTAGTTTTGCATAAAAATTCTCCCAGAAGACACTTTCCCTTGACAAACTGCCTGTGTGTTGCATTATCTTGAACCACCAATCAAATTTAATTTTAGTTTTAGTATGTTACACAACTACTAGCACATAAAGAATGATTTTTAAAATACAACACTACCGTCCCCAGTAGTGTTGTAGTGGAACATGTTTTACTTGTTTGGACAAATTTTATCATCAATACAACACAGACCTATTATTTTAATTCAGCCTAATGTTTTGTTTTTCTATTTCTGAAGAATTTCTGAGTACTTCTGAGTAATTACGTACCTCAAAGCTTGTTACCGGAGCTGAGTAACAAGTAACAGGCTTTGAGATATGTAATTAACTGTATTCTAGTGTTGAGAAGTGTGGATTTGTACTTCTGAATATTCATTAAACTACTCAGAATTAGTAAAAAATAGATTAATTAAAATTAATAAAAATAAAATTTTACATAAATCTAAAATTAGCATCAAGAGACTAACTTTTTGATATATGGTACTTATTTATTTCAAATCTTAAAAATTTATTTAGAAATTCCACATTACTTAAATTATAATTCATTCTTTTTCTTCTCAAAACAGTGTCCTTTCAACAAACATCTCTTATTTCATAACTTTGGAAATATTTTACAAAAAAAAAAAAAATTAAAACGACAAACATTTTGTTAGACTGAAATCTGGATTACTAGATAATGACTTTAAACATTTAAATTCATCAATCAAAGATGTATATCCTGTGTCTATCTAAACTAGTGGATAATCCTTTAGTGCCTTCTTTTTATTCAAATGTTAATATGATTATAAAATTAACTCAAGCTTCTGTCAAATTATTATTTTAGTCAGCAAAAGCTAAGAAACTCTCAGATAATATTTAATACAAATTTCAGCTTGTTTTTCAATTAAAAAAAAAATGATTGGCTAGTAAGGTTGACGTAATGTTATAATTGCATTAGCTATACAGGGAAACTGGTTAATCATTTTTTTGAGACTAATAGAAATCTAAATATAATTGCTTTCTTAGAATTTTAAGTTTTAATACATCCATTCTAACATAAATCAATTAATTTCTCAAAGATAATTTTTATCTTCAAAATATTTGATTTTTTTCAAATATTGCTTTATTCCAATTCTGTTAATTTTGTTTCTTTTGTAAATTTTTTGTCTGATGGAGATTATTAATATTAATAAAATTAAAGACAGTCTGCCTAAAAGGGACCAGCATTTATTTCTTGTGTTCCAGACTGTACATATTCATGGTGATCGGCCTTCCTTTTTAGGCCACATGCCACCAGAATTTTTAAAAAAGTTTTTTAAAAAACACAAATATATCCAATTAAAATTATGAAATTTCTAAAAAAGGAACAGGTGACATACAGACATCTTTGCTTTTCATTCATCCTATGGGGTGTTTCTGCTTTTATCTACTGGAACAAGTGTTGGAAAATGTAGATTTTGGAAGCTTTCCCCTGGTGACGATAAATATCAAATTTTTCTTTTGTAAATTTTTTCATTCAATGGAGATTATTAATATTAATAAAATTAAAGACACTTTTAAAGGACTTTTTTAAATTCTGGTGGCATGTAGCCTAAAAAGGAAGGTCAGTCACCGTGAATACGTATAGTCTGAAACACAAGAAATAAATGGTGGTCCCTTTTAGGCAGACTGTCTTTAATTTTATTAAAATTTTGTTTCTGTTCAAATTAATTTACACCTAATGAAGTCTTTAATAAAAATACAGAAGTGCTTTGCTTTTTCTTATTTATTATCTTATTCAAACAAAATACATCTAACATTAATATTTTCTTGTTTATTTAAAAATGATGGGTCAACATATATAAATACTAATATTAATATCTAATCAATATGTAATTCAGTATGTAATATTTGAGTGAATAATAATAATATATTCAAACCTTTCCAAGAACCTCTGCTTATCTTCAAAGAAATAAAAGTAAGAATCAAATTTTCATTCAGTATCAAAAAAAGTGTTCCTTGGAGTAGCTGCAATCTTCCAAATATATAAATAGACAATAATCATAAGCTAACTCAATGAAAGAGCCTAATAATTAAATTTTAAGACTAATAGAAATAAATTCCTATCAAAAACTGAAGAATCCATCCAGCCTAGCTGTCAATACAAATTCTTTCATTTATCTGATTTTAGAATAATCTGGTCAAATTTTAAGGAACAGAATCGAGAAACAAAAATATTTAGGAAGGCGATATCATTCAGAGAAAATATAAAACATTTTAAATAATAAAAATGATCCTTTCCATGTTTTACTTGTCCCAGCAGCATCAATCTTCATTATAACTGTACCAGTGTGTGTAATTTCTTTTTTCATTACCAATGCCATTCTATTTGATTTACTACTATTTTCAACTTATTCTTGCTATTTCTTATTTTTTGAATTTTATGTATTTAGTCAATTTTACATGGAGTTGTTCTATTCTTAAAAGTAATTCCACTGAAATTGGCTGTACTGCCAAGTTGTGCCTTCCTCCATGTTTCACCTCCCATCCCTCTTCCACTTCACGACCATTACCTTCTATTACATCAGTCTGCATACCTATTGTTCCAAAGTTTTTAAACTGCCGGTATGGTTTTCACCCTGGTAATAACTAGGTGCAATGAAAATAAACTTTTCTGATAAAATCCTTTTTATAAAATG